TGTATGCATGTATGTATAGAATTGAGGACTGGAAGTGAAAAGATGTGGTTGCAGATGGGGAGGAAGCTGCAATGGTCACTGGGAGATCGAGGAGGAAGAAGGTGACGCAAAAGTTGTCACTTTCCAAGGAAAGTGAGGGAGGGAGTTGAATAATAAAGGGTGGCTTACAAATGATCAATCGCCTAGTGACTTGTGGATAACAAATGACAGCGACATAAGGTAAACTGCTTGCACATTCTAGGCTAATTCGCCGGCAAATTATTCTGTGCGGAGACCAGATGTCGTCCAGAGGCTAATAAAAATGCGCCAAGCCACCATAGTGCTCGGTATTGAGCTCAGTGCAGAGCTGGTACAAAGTGTAACCGAATGATTCTCCTATCTGATGTCCGCACAAAATAATATCTCTAATTCGCGAGTCTCTTAACTGAAATGTGCTTTGTAGATATATCACAAGCATTACTATGATATTCAGTACATAGCAAGATACTGTAAACAGCTGCCAAGCAATAGTTTGAGGAGAAGGTACGACTATGGCTGACACTTTTCTGAAATTCAAATTGAAAAGGGAGAGAGGAGTTGGATAACAATCATGAGGAAGCTAAAAAAAGCAATGATGACTGAGAAAATTGTTTAGGAATCTTATATAAATGAGAAAGCAGTTAAAGTCAACCTATGGTGGATCACATGCGGCCTCTTAGCTATGAACGTCAGTGAGTAGTCGTGGAAAGGTCTGCCTCGTGGGTTTTAAGGATCCTTATTCATTAATGTTGCTCATTTCCTTTAGTAGGAGGAGAATTTTGTCAAAACTTCTCAAAAGAAAGGTACTAAAAACATAAAAAATAGCATCAAGTGCTTAAAATGAAATGTGCCTTCCATGATATATTCATATATGTGATCTTTCAGTATAGAAAATATGTCGTTATCAGCGGACAAAATCCACTGATAATCATATAATTTCGTCGGAAATTATACATATGTAAATTGCTTCGACATTAAAACACGCATCAGAAACATGTTTCGACATAAATATTCCTAAACGAGGAGGAAAGAAAATGAGAAGGAAGACGATGCCGGGAGGAAAATAGGGCTTTCTCCTGTGGAATTTTAGACGACAACTTTACCGTCAAAAAATCCGTCGTAATTTGTTCGTCTGATTTAAGTAAGCTGGTGAAATATCCATCGGAGATGATGCCGGTATGTTCTGGCGGAAAATATGCCAGAATAAACTAACAGTCTCAACAAACGACTCATATTCCAGTGGATTATCCGCCAATAAATGGGCGGCAGAATATCTGCTGGAAACTCCGTCGTTATGGTAGCGGCAGTGATTACAGCGCTTTTGCCGACGTATTTACATCCAACTGAAAGTCCGACTGTAATTCAAGATTTTAAATGTAATATTTGAGATATATATTATAAAAATACCCTTTTGAGTAATACTAAGCGGAATTTTATAGCTTTCTTCTATCATATTAGTTTAAAAATTTTCAAGAATTAAATTATCAGATAAAAAAATAATATTTCTATTTAAATCCCAAAAGTATTTAGGCTGTCCACATGTCGTATTTTGATTTGTTGCCAGCTGCCCCACCAATTGCTCCACCCACGAGGTCAGTAGTGATAATGCCGATGGGTAGGTTCTATCTAAAGTCATAATCCAGTGTTAATTGTTAAATATTAATTAAATATTTAATGTTAATAATTTTAATATAGAAGATTATATTGAACATAAATAAAAATTCAAACAATTTAGAATTATTTATGAATTTGGTGAAATTCAAATATTGTAGAAAACGAATTTTAATTTAAATATTTAATTATTTGTTTGATGTCCCATCTTTATTGAATGAAGGAATATTTATAATGGTGGAAAGAAATTGTTTGTGCATTGTGCAGTGATGCATGATTTTTCTTCTCTTATGATAGAAGATTGATGGTTAGGATGGCGGGCATCCAACATCGCTGGTTTATAAATATTTGGAGATATTTCCCGTCAACAGATGACGATCGATTAGAAATATCAAAAGTTGAGCGATAATTGATAGTTTACATGAACATTGTCCTTATATGATGCGAGAAAAGTGACCATGAAGGCATCTGTCAAAAAATGTCTAGCATTAGAAATTTTTTATGCTGGAAAAAAGTTAATGTTATGTTGAATCATTATATTTGTAAGAGATAATACTGAAGAGCAGGAAAGTGAAAGCTAGATTTAGGTGGTTGAAAGACTTCAGATAATTACCCTTTGCTAGACAGTGATCAGATAATCATCAATTGAGAATATTAAACATCAAGTAACAATCGATGGCTTGCTCGACCATTCTTCTTATGGGAGATAATGAAAACTAACAAAATGAGCACTAGCAGTTGTCAAACATTGAATATTCATAAACATCAAATTAACATTGGTACACACCATATGATTATTGCTAAAATTTTTTTAATATTAGGCAAGGATCAAATTGTCTTCTTAATTGTTCTATTCATAAGAGGAGAACCTTTGACAAATAAGACAATTTTTGAATGTTTGTTATTGATAAATATCAAAAATTAGCGAGCACTAGACAACAATCGGTTAGGAAAGTTGAAAATCATGTGAAGATTAGGTGTTTGTATGATTACTCTCCTTAGTGGTGTGGAAATAAAGAAAAGACAAAGATAAGTGTCAAATGATGAATAGTGGATGTAGATGTCAAATATTAATCCTTCGTAAGCATCAGGTGATAGTTGATGAGGAATGTTATAGGATAAGCAACATCACGTGGTATGTATATATCTTACTCCTTATAAGAGAGGATATTAGATGAATGGAAAGGCTAGAGGGTTAACTTCAAGTGAACGTGATAGTGAGCTAACAACATTAGTCGATAAAAATTTATTGGTGCCGGTTGACATTGTGTGCTAACATTCTTCATTGATGTCGGTCGATTCTAGGTTAGTGTAGATTGATGATAGTTTGTAGTAACTCCTAATGGAAAGAGCTTTGGAAATATCTAAGTCTTAAAATTTTCTCTATACATTTTGGAGGGAAATATTAATCACTTCTATCTTTGAAAGAAGGAGTTTAAATCTATTGTAACTCAGGATTGTAATTTAGGATATATCCATAAAGTATCTTTAGCTACATATATTAAAAATATATATCTAATTAGCAAGTAAGATGCCTAAGCGACTCAATATGAAATAAAGAGAGTTGTCATGTTGCCCAATTGGTGAAACCAAAGAATGATCGTCACAAGGAAGATAGAAAACCTTTAAATGAGAATTAGGATGCAATAGATTTAATATGAGTCTATAATCAAGTTACGTAATTATAAGGTCAATGGTTTAATGTATTCATAATATTTTTTTTCTTTGCTTTTCATGCAATTGAAAAAATATAATTAGTTAGATTTAATATTATTCTTAAGGTAAGGTCACAAATTGAGTATGTATAATGATATAACATTTGTCATTATGATATGTTATAACTATTATCGCTGTATTGTATTCACTATTTAATCTATAGTGTTAGAGCTGGTGTGATTATACTTTGATGTATTAACCATCAAGGGCGGATCCACCTTACCCAGGGAGACCCCTAAAAATAATTCTTTTTTATATGATTCAGGTAATTTATCCATCTTCATCTAATTTTTAGTCTTTATTATAAGAGTTTTTAAGTAAATGCCCCCCCCCCGCCCCCCTAAAAGTTTTAAAATACTATGGTCTTTAGGAAATTGTCCCAGCATAATTAAACACATTATGTATATGTATTATTGTTAGGGAATGCTGAACCATATACAAAAAGATACAGTAAAGACAATCTAAAAATAGTCGAACCCAGCTAGGGGGCGCTGCCACTTGGACCCCCGACATATATGCGAAGCGTACAACATTCAAGGATATGAACAAATAAGGGTCTAGACAAATTCTACACTTTTACTTATAACTTTGAACCCCACCCCCCCTTCTTTAAAATTAAGACTGATTCCGCCCATGCTAACCATATAGTTTAATAAAGATGTTTAAATGCGCACTAGTATATCTCCTTCAGCTAAATTTGTGCAAACCCTATTCCAATATGATTTTAATCATATTTGAATATGATTAGGACAATGGTCGAACCCTATTCGAATAGGTTTCAAACAATATTTGAGTTTTTCTCAAATACAGTTACAACCTTTTTGAAACCAATATCGACCAATGTGAACTTTAATCTGTACCGAAAAGTAAGAGTATTTTGTCCAAAATAAACTTTTGAGCACATTTTCCCAAGAAAACAATCAAAATAAAAATTTCTTTAATATTTATTATTATAGGCCATATTAAGTAAAAGTTCTCAATATTTAAGCAATCTAATATTTATATATTTTTCAACATTTTTTATTTAATTTAATTTTCTTATATGTTTATTAGTAATAGTCAAATTTTGTTATATTTTTCTCATGTCATGTAATAACAAAACATGATCCTAAAATTTTAAAATATAAGAAAAGTTAACTTTTAATAAATAAATCACTATGTAAGTTGAAAGAGCTTTGCATTTTTAATAGTATCATACAAGTGGAGGCATTTGTCTACTACCACCACTACCTATTTGATGTTTCTATTTCCCATCTATGGATATAATTAATTTTGAATTAAATTAAACTAATTTCAAGCAAATCAATCCTCATGAAATAAAATCTTTTTCAAACAAATTACCTATCAAATTTTGATTTTTGAGTGCAATCATCAATTAATCCTATGCTTTGATGTACATACATACATACATAAATGTATACATAGATGTAAAAGGAGATTGACAACTCTTTGATGAGTTGTATGTTTAATACAAATAGCTGGAACACAACATACATAACATGTAAAAGCCATCATGCTCAGCGATGGGACCATGCCATGTAATTCTATCCACAAGTCCAAAACTTGATGACCTCATCCGGACTTGGAATGCCGGTTGCTATCTGTGAACAAGTTTGGGGAAACTGTTCCTCCTTCATAAGTGGGCCTTTCTCCTTTCTCCTTTCTCCTTTCTCCCCTTCGACCTATAAAACCTGCCTCCTTCCCCCCGTTCTTCCCTCCTTCATTTCCTACAACTCCCTCGCCAACACTTCGCCGGACTCCGGCCATGTATCCCGGAGAAGTCGCCGGAATCCACTTCCACTTCCCTACAGCCCAGAGCATCATCCCAGCTTTCAGCTTTGGCGGGCTTTTTGATACTTATTCCATAGCCCATCAGGCCCACGACATCTGGCCGGTCATCTCTACACCTGAGGAGAGTGAGGATCGTCAGCCCAGTCCCGCCGACGAGCGGCGGCGGCGGCGGATGATATCGAACCGGGAGTCGGCGAGGCGGTCGAGGATGCGAAAGCAGAGGCAGCTGGACGAGCTGGCGGGGCAGGTCGGTCGCCTCCGCTCCGCCAACCGTCAGCTTCTCGATGAACTCAACAAGGTAATGAGAGATCAGGAAGATATCCTCGATGAGAACCACAGGCTCGGTGAGGAGGCCACTGCGCTGCAAAAGAGGCTAAGGACTCTGCAAGCAGAACATTGCGATGAGCCCAGCCCAGCCCACCTTAGAACCAAGCCCAACAGCCCATGTTCTTAAGGAGCACCGTTTCTATATATATCTTTTTTTTTTTTTTAATTTACCTTTGCTCATCAACAAGTTTCCACTGAATGGTGATCAATGAAGCATGAGAAAAATATGCAAAAAAAAAAAAATGAGGCATATGGTGAGTGGTTTTCTTTGTAATTAAATAAATCGGATCTATTAATAATAAGAGAGGAATAATTATAAGTAGAGCCGCATTCAATATATTTATCCTATGTAATTTATTTTATTTTTTAATGAAAAATGATTGACTAATATAGAGTAAAATTAAGTAATTATTACACATGCAATAAATTATCCAAAAAAATGAATAATATTTTTTAAGCGGAAAACTACATAAAGCAACAAACAAACAAGTTTAATTTTAGGTGTTTGGAAGAAATTAGCAAAAGAAAAAAGTAGTGGCAAGGACTGGGTAACTTTGATTGGTAGCTACAAGAGGAAAAGTAAATGAAAAAGCTCTCCACTAGAACAAGGAATACAGTAATGCTCATCTTGCTTTTTCTAGTGTGGCCGATGATGATTCGGGTTATTAGTTTTTGGCAATGATAATCTTCACAATTTAAGCTTATTAATCCCAACCGAAATCTCACAAGCAATCACCTATCTATATTAAAAAACTGTTTTAGAAAGTAGTAAAAAAGCTGCCGCTAATGAAGATTAACGCTTTCGTTTGGAACGACTTTTTTACTACTACTTAAAGTTACTTTCTAGTATAATAATTTTAATTTTTATACTCAAAAGTTATGGCGGCATAGCTGTGAGCTACTCTTATTAAGTTGTTAGGGGTATGCCATAAGTGAGCATCTTCTTTGTAAGCTATCCTTGCTAATAGCATATCTGGCCTTGGCTGTTAACTTGCTTTGGTTGTCGACTTCGTTAGCTTTCAAAGCAAATACATCACCATCTCCTTTAATATAGTATCAAAGTGTCATTAATGGCGTTGCTGCATCAGCGCCAAACTAGGTGGGCTTTCTTCTTCGTTATGGTTTTTACTGTAAAGCCTCTAAAAAAAAGTAAAATTAAACTCTTAAATATCGAGGCACCTTCTAACGTAATGGTTTGATTTTTATTGAAAATTTTAAAGTTAAGGTTGCTCATATAGGAATACTCTTGGGTTGAGTGAGGTACTGGGAAGCTACATCAATTGGACAAAACTGTGAGTTGTTGGGTCAAGGCGGATAAGATATTGATAATTAAAAATTTGAATTGTTACGAATGATATTAGAGCAATACACATGCTAGAAGATGTGAACTAAGTATCATACATGACAAAGTAATACATCATAGGAGCCAACTCTTGAATCCTATATGTGTCAATAATTTATTTGACGAGAGTTACCCCCTGCTTGGGTTTGGGTTAGGGCTGTCAATTCGTGTCTATGGATCGTGTTCGGGTCAGACACGAATTTGACCCAGCTGTATCTGACCCGACAGGAACACGACCCGAAATAGGTTTTGGGTCAATTCTCTGGACCCGAACTCGACCAGGATCAGGTTCGGATCAACACGGCCCGACATGGAATTTTGAAAATAAATCTCAAAGGCGCGGGTTCCAGTCGCTACTTCTAGTTCCAGTCCCGGCGGCGCGACAGCAGCGGCAGGCGGCAGCACACTTACGTCGAGACTCCTGACTCGCGAATCGAACCAAGCGACGCAGCGCCAGACTGCCAGACATGACTCGACACAGTGCACGCGAAGAGACTGGTGATTGTGACTGCGACTCGACGCTTCGGACAACGTGGGAAACCGAGAAGGCGGGCACTCGACACTTCGGGTAGGGCGGGCAGCAGACGCGGGCAGAGGATTTTCGGGTTGCCGGATCAACCTGAACCCGACCCGATTTTTGAAACGAGTTGGTTTGTTCAACCCGAACCCGAATTTTTTCGGGTCGGGTCCCGGGTTTCGGGTCGTGTCACAAATTTACACCCCTAGTTTGGGTGCTTTGCAACATAAATTTTTTTCCTTGTACAAGACCCTGGTGCTGCATACCCGAGCGCCCTAGCGATGAACGACAAAGAGCATAGCGCTGCAACGGTATAGATACGGCACTGTAGCGGTGCAAGACAAAGGCTTGAGCGCCGCAGCGTACCAAACTGACACCGCAACACTGTGAGACGGACTGGATGATTTTCTTTCTCGTTTTTCTTAAAGCTTGTGTCCCTTGACGCTATTTTACTTGGCTTTCTCTTATATTTTGAGTGTGTAGAAATTAAGAGTGGTGCATGTGAGAAGAAAAACAAGGGAGAGTGAGAGAAGAGGGATATATACTTATTTCTCCTAATTTTCATAGTGGATTTCTTGGTGTGGTGTGGCTCCGAAAATTTTTCCCTTATTTTGAGTTTTTCCACATTAAATCCTGATAACATTTAATTTTCCACTGCTTTTACTGTTTTCCTTGTTTCATCATTATGATGTTTACTCCACATCTCCCAACACATAGTTACATTTAGTAAGGTAACGTAAAGACTCCAACCTCGGTAATTCTTGGATCCGAAATGACAATGCTGTGATCTTGTGGATACTCAACTCTGTATCCAAAGAAATCTTTGCTAGCATCATATATTCTGACACCACACAAGAGATCTAAAACGATCTTAAGGACCATTTTAAACAGACTAATGGAAGTTAGATTTCAACTTCGCCACGAGCTGATCACCCTCAAATAAGAACATTTCTCCATCGCTTTGTTTTTCACCAAATTAAGAACTCTTTCAGACTAACTGAACAATTATAGGAATATCTGTTCATGCAGAGGCTGCACCAATTTGTATCACCTAACAAAATATGTTATACTTAACTACTGCTTCACACCACTTAAAGGGACAAATTCTTCTCGTGGAATCCATTCCCCTCATAAACAGAGTATTTTCTCTAATTTTCCAAGAACAAAAGCAACGATACTTGGGATTGTAATGAAGGAATAGCCTTTGCTGGTAAAACCGCAAATGCCACTACTTTCAGGGAGACGGAAGCTACAAGAAGGAACCGGTGACTTATCGGCCTTACTATAGTTATTGCAATCTCCATGGCTGAATTATTACCTCCAGTCACCAGACGTCCGGACATCCAATCTAGACATGCAACGTCACCCAAATACACTGGGACCCGGTGTATTTTGGTGACGTGGCGCTTCTGAATTGGTGTCCGGATTCATCCGGACACCGGACGTAATAATTTGCCATCTCCATGGCCATTCTAAAGATAAATATATAAGTTGTATGATTATCTATGATGCACAAGTACTTTTTCTCAAAGAGGTATGTAGTATCTTACATGTATAAGGCACGACAAGTGTCTGAATAGGCTTCTGTAATGTGTTGCACACACTAAAGAAGTGTTCGATTAAAAATAAATTGGAGTCTTGCATCATAAATATTTTATAAACTTTTAAAAATATAATTTCTTGTACATCAACTTTTTATTTATTAAAAACTAAAAATCAAATTTCTTACTTTCTCTTCAAACCTTCAAATCAATCACCAATATCAATATCTCATTTCCCCAATATTGCCATTTTCATTTCTTTCTAGCAGTGTACAACTAGGTTTTCACAACAACATATGATGCTATTTGTTTGATGTCATCACATCATCAATGTTTTAAAACCATCTCAACATTGAATTCAAATGTTGTCTTGACATTAAAGTATGACACCACAAATTTTAACACCCTTAATTGCGCCCCCGCACCATCTCAACATCTTATTTTTGTTCAACGTCATCTCAACATTGATGACAAATAATGTCTCGACATTGAGGGTCGATGATGTCTTAACACTACAGGAAAATGCGCCACTACCATTAGACATACTGGCGAACGTTTTTACGTCGGTAATACCGGCACCGTTATCGGTGGATGTTTCGCCGGTAATTTAACGACCCATCATCCGGCGGAATAACTGCCGTAGAGTTACTGGCGCACATTTCGCCGGCATTTCTTTGTTGTCCGGCTCATTTTCCGTTGGTAACTACTGGAAGACTAACAGGCGCATCGTGCACCGGCTTACTTAAACACGGCGAACTATATCCGGCATAGTATCTGTCGGTAACTACCGGCGGACGTACCGACGTATCGTGTGCCGGCTTATTTAAACTCGATGAACTATTTCCGGTGGCCTCGCTGCCGGTTCTTGAAGGATAATACGCTGGAAATTGCGTCGGCTAAAGCCCTATTTCAACTTCCCCCGAACGATTTACGATTTCACTCATTTCATTCTCTCTCGCGTCGAACGACTGCTGCACGTCTGAGAGCTGTGTCGACGCCGCGATTTCGCCCCTCTCCTCGCTTAAGTCCCAATGCCTCGAAATCGGCCTCCCTTCGCTCAAGCTAACGAGCTGCCCCGACATCCAACTGGAGAGCTCTTCTTCATCGCGTCCGAGAGCTCCCTTAGCCGAACCTCGCTGACTTTCGCCAAAAGCTACCTCGAACTCCACCGGTAAGTGAAGGTATTATCTCATCGCCTCGAGTTTGAATGTTCTTACCATACATTTGCAAGAGAATGTATATTGGAGTGTAATTATTAAAAAAATTAGTTTTAGTGAGGGAATCTTGATTTTTCATGAAGAGGTATGTAGTATCTGACATGTATAGGACACTAAAGAGGTACGTAGTATCTGACATGTATAGGACACTGACAAGTGTCTGAATAGGCTTCCGTAATGTGTTGCACACACCAAAGAAGTGTTCGATTAAAAAAAAATTAAAAATAAATTGGAGTCGTGCATCTTAAATATTTTATAAACTTTTTAAAATATAATTTCTTATACATCAATTTTTATTTATTAAAAAATAAAATTAAATTTCTTACTTTCTCTTCAAACCTTCAAATCAATCACCAATATCAATATCTCATTTCCCGAATATTGCCATTTTCATTTCTCTCTAGCAGTTTACAACTAGGTTTTCACAACAACACATGATGCTATTTGTTTGATGTCGTCACAGCATCAATGTTTTAAAACCATCTCAACATTGAAGGAAAATGTTGTCTTGACATTAAAGCATGAC